ATATACATTTAAATGATTCTCAAATATCTTTGCAACAGATGATAGAAAAATTTAACATTTAATGTTTTTTGAGTTAGCATTATACTTTGAAAGAAATCTAAAATTATTTTTCAATTAAAACTCAAGAATGTGTATAGAAATATATTATGCAATATCTATTACTTATCTCCCATTGTTTCCCAAATCTCTAATAGACAAATTTAATGTTTGCTTTAAGACCAAGAACAGGAATTCCTGAATAAAAAATGAATCCTGAAGGAAAATCTCACAAGAAGTGTCCTTGGAATCTAATTCGAAGGGGTAAAACATCCACTATCAAAAATAAAAGTATAAAAGACATAAATTATATGTAAAAAAGAAAACTATTAATTTGTATATGTCATTCTAAATAAATGCTAAATAAAACAATCCTGATATAGGAGGTCACCTTTGTTGTTAAACCATAGAGTACAAAGGAGCAGAGTCTCTGTATCCTAACTGTAGTCATGAAACAAAATATAGAGTCTTGATTAGGGGAAATCCTCAATTTTTCAAGCTCATGCGTAAACTTCTGTGCAAATGCATTAGCTGTCCTTAACACTTCCAACCTTCTGGAAGTAGCTGGAGGTGAAGGGAAAGGTAGAGAAAAAGGCAAAAGAAAATTGACCAGTTTTGACCTCTGAAGATCATTAATTACTAATATCTTTTCTTTATACAACACTCAATGGGACCATCACAATCTGGTTCCAGAGGCACTGACTAAGATTATATAGGTTTTGTACTGCACAGTCCAGAGGGTAACAATATGAATGATTGCTGAATACAGCATCCCTGTTTGGTCCTAACTCTCCTTCCCAATTTTATTTTTAACCCTGCTTCTTATGTTGTAGGTTGATACCGAACCTACACCATGATATTTGGTCATCCCAAGAACATGCCCTGAATGTTCATGCTTTTAAGCCATCTCTTACCTGACTTCCTTTTAACAGAATAAATTTTCTTAATCCAATTAACCTTTCAAAAATAGTGGTAGTTATTTGGGTCAAAATTTGCTGTTATTACGGAATTCGGCAAATCATCTTTTTTCACCATTTTTGGAAAATTATTGAAAAAATACCCATAGTGATTCTCTTCTACTTATCACCATTAAACTCTAATTAGATTAAATTGTATGTTATAATTTCTCATTGTGTTCTGCATACCTTTGTGATATATTCTGAGTCATTTTCTTAGCGTTATCATTTGGTGAATGTATTTACTCTTCTGCCAGGTCTAATCTCTTGTTTATCTTATAGTTTCATTTCATTTCTTTAATTTGTTATGAAACATTTCAAACACAGGCGAAAATAGAATAGTATAATAGACTCCCAGGTATGCATCATTTTAAGTCAACAATTACTGATTATGGTAGGTCTTGTTTCATTTATTCCACTCCCACTCCTGTATTATTTTGAAGCAAATCCCAGACAAATACTTACAACTAAATATTTAAATAACAATAAATCTAATTTTTAATGTAACCACAGTACCATTTTCATATTTAAAAGAGACAGTAGGGCTTCCCTGGTGGCGCAGTGGTTAAGAATCCGCCTGCCAATGCAGGCGACACGGGTTCGAGCCCTGGTGGGGGGAAGATCCCACATGCCGCGGAGCAACTAAGCCCGTGCGCCACAACTACTGAGCCTGCGTGCTGCAACCACTGAAGCTCACGCGCCTAGGGCCCAAGCTCCGCAACAAGAGAAGCCACCGCAGTGAGAAGCCCGAGCACCGCAACGAGGGCAGCCCCTGCTCGCAGCAACTAGAGAAAGCCGCGTGCAGCAACAAACACCCTACACAGCCAAATAAAATAAAATAAAATAAAAAAGAGACAATAATTACTTAAAATCATTAAGTAGCCACAGTGCACATTCACAATTGTCTCTTACGCATGTTAATTTTTAAACAGACCATTGCTTGAATTAGAACCCTCCAAAATTGTGACTAGTTAATAAGTCCCTTAAATCTACTTTGATCTTTTGGATCCCTTCCCTCCTCCATCTCTTGTTTTTCTTCAAACCTTTGTAAATTATTTATTGAAGAAACTAGGTTATTTATTCTGCTGTTTTCTACAGTCTGAATTGCTGTTTGCTTCCCTATAATGTTTCTGAAGTCATTTCTTTGTCTTCTATATTTCCTGGAAATTGGCAGGTAGAACTAGAGGCAAGAAAATTTTTTTTTTTTCAATTCTGTTATATAGGTAGTGTTGAGTTCTTCCATCAGGGAGCATATAATGACTCACTGTTTTTCCTTTTGTGATGCTAGCAGAAACTGAATCACTGTCTAGAGCCATCATTTCATTAGGGTTTGCAAAATAGAGACATTCTAATACTACCACTCCTTCTTCATTTATTAGCTGGAATAATTCTATAAAGGAGAATTTCTACATCTACTAATTCTATTGTTTCTTCATTGCTTTAGCTGTACAATTTCTATAAAGAGAAAATTCCACGTTTTCCTTCTTCTCCATGTCTGCAAGCGACGATTTGTTGTAATATCTTTTTGTGCTCAGTTAATAGCCATGAAGCAATCAAAAACTCATTCTAAATTTCATATGCTCCCCCTACTGTCCCTGAATTGCTTGATACTTGTGCTGTGTCAGACTGCACAACTATAACACATGGCACTCTTTTTTTTTTTGTAACCATCATTTAAGTCTAAAGTTACATTCACACCAATTCTTATGATGTTACCTCTCCAGTCATTTTGATTGTTTGAAGAATTTCATCCAGTAGCTTCCTCGAGAAGTACTCATGAGAACAATATTCCCTAATTTTTTACACACTTATAATAGTTTATTTTTAGCCTTTATATGTGAAAATCTATTCAAATGACTAAGTGCTTGCCAATTTCCTTTTCTTACAAACCAAGCTATGTTAGATAGATTATATCTCCTAATATAGTATCTCTTTATGACACTTCCTAAAGAAATTGTTATGATGGAATCTCAATGTAGATTATATATATATATATAAGATTTATGTAATAAATATTTGGTGTATATGCTATGTATGCTATCATAAATTCATATATAAATATTTACATAAATGTTTACATGTTGACTTTCAAATTATTTTGTAGACTGTACTGCAAGATCCAGGAATCAAAGAAATACTATTTATTAGAAGGCACAATATTTTCTCCACTTAACTTTTGGCTTTCTATAACCTTCTTTAAAAATTGCCTCTCTTCTTGCTTTGTGTTATAATTTGTTATAAATATTTCTATGTTTCTTACTGGTATGTGATCTCTTTGAGGGACAAAGACTGTATTTTCCTTCTTTTTTCCACCGTAGCCCAACACAGTGCCTAGAACATAAGTGGAACTAATTTATATTTGTTTAATTAGAATAAGATCTGAATTTCAAAACACATGTGTGGTATTTTTTTCAAGTACATGTTGGATAAAGTATAGTCCCAAAGTGATGATTTTATTTACTAGTGTAACTCTGATAATCCTTCAGAAGTCTAGCAAATTGCATCCTGTATTGATGAGAATCATCGAGCAAAAGCAAAGTCACGGACCAGGAACAAATGTGATGTGTCCTAGAACTCCAAGTAACCAAGTGAAACTGGACTAAAGGATGTGGAAATGAGTGCAGGAAGAAAAGAGGTGCCAGATTATGAAAATTTTCATAGAATTTCCTTAAGGAGTTTGCTTTTATCTTGTAAGCAATGGGAACTTTTCATGGAAAGATTTTTTTGCGGTACGCAGGCCTCTCACTGCTGTGGCTTCTTCCATTGCGGAGCACAGGCTCCGGACGTGCAGGCTCAGCGGCCACGGCTCACGGGCCCAGCGCTCCGCGGCATGTGGGATCTTCCCGGACCGGGGCACGAACCCGTGTCCCCTGCATCAGCAGGCGGACTCTTAACCACTGCACCACCAGGGAAGCCCTCAGGAAAAGATTTTTGTGTTAGATGATCCCCCTGGTAGCAGAGTAAAGGATGCATTCACCAATAAAGGGGTGAGGATGGTGGTGGAAGTGGAGATGGGGAAAGACTGGAGAAAGAAAACATGTCAAAAAGATGATTTAGGCCAGAATTAGGAAAGCCTTAATGTAAAAGGATATTCTGGAGATATTAAACATATAAAACAAGCAGGATTTAGAGAATTTAGTGAATAATGGAACGTTTAATGTAAGCAAATGGAATCCTGGTGAGGAAGAGGGATCCTAGTAAATTCCCCAAATTCCAGACTTTGGGGAATTGGGTGATCTTTTGTGTCACTGCTGCTGTGAAATGTACAGCATGAGGAACAGATACTGAGGGGGTAGAAAATGAATTAAGTTTGGAATGACTGCTTTAAAGTACTGACACTCAATGATTAAAGAGAGATTTAATTATTCTAATTCTGTTATAATAGTTAACAGTTTACAAAGTACTCATTTGATTTTTATAGAGGTAAGTAATTATCCCCATTTTCCAGATAAATAAGCTGAGGATCACAGAGAATAAGATTCTTATACAAGTCACATGGCTAGAAATGCTTAGAAATTTGACTTAAACATATGTGTCCTGACTCCAGGTCCTGAGAGCTCTTCACTGCCTTCTTGGTATAGGAGAGGAGACTTATTCACATCATTTGGAATGCTGTGTAACAAGGGTAAAAATAAAATGGTATTGTGGTTACCTTTATTAACTAGAAAATGCAACTGACCAGAACATTTATCTCATAGGACACACTTTTCCCCTTGCTTCCCAAATGCTGTTATGTCTTGTAAGAACTACTTTATATTTACATGCAACAGAATCTTCTTCAGAAAACATTTTGACAAAAATATTTGTGCACACCATAGCAGTTATTTTGCTCCCTAAACATTATTTCTAAAATGATGCCATTAAACTCAGAAATTAGCTAAGACACTTTTAAATCTGTTTACCTACAAGGTTTTCATTGTATTTTTTTTAATGTGGACTTCTCTGTTTCTGAACCCAGAGTGGAAGAATTAGAAAATGAAAATGTTCCTTCTCTAAGAGTTCACTTACCTCTGTTTACCTTTATGATCTACAGAGCCAGCTGAGAGTCTGTCCAGGGGAGAACCAAAACCAGAGAAGCTTCTTTTCTTCTTTGTTTCAATCACATCATTCTCCAGAGACACAAGTTCATCAAGAAGTAAGAGTTTTGCTGCCAGATCAGTGGCTGATTTCTCTTCCTTGACTGTGGGTGGTGACTGAACATCTAAGACTCTAGGATCAAAGGCCTATAGGGCAGGAAAGGTGATTCCATTCATTAACGAGAAGAAAATACATACAATCGTCTGCATTTGGCTTTTGCTATTTTTAGCTGACATGCCTGTCATGAACCTTGATTTCTCATGAGTTATGATCCAGAGAGAAAGACTTTTGGGGACAAAAACACATAGAGATGAGGTTTATCCAAAAGAAATGAAAGGGAAACTAAATACTCACACACACATACACATACACACAAAGAAAAAAAAAAAAGGTAAACTCCTCTAAAGGAGGCCTGCCTCTAACATTTAGTATAACGGATTATTCTTTCAGATTCTTTCCCAGTAGCAACTGCATCCTTCCTTATTACTCCAAAAGCACTTTATCTATACTTCTTTCATCACTGCCATCATTACATTTTCCCTTGTATTAGATTAGCTACAATATATTTGTATTGCCTATTAGATTGTGAGTAACTTGAGGGCAAAGACTATGTCTAATTAGTCTTTTATCTGCTCTATTCAATGCCTAACCCAGTATTTTGCTCATAGTTAGTACTCAGTAAATTTCTGCTGAATATTTATTGAATGAATTCTGAAAAAAATCTAAACCTCATGTTATTTTCTTTTCACCACTCATTCATTCCTTACTGATTCAAGCCACTAAACATCCACTGTGCAGGTCCTGCGTTAGACCCAAGAGATCCCAAAATGAGTAAAATCCAGTCTGTGCCCTGAAGGAGCTTACCATCTCCACCCATGTGATTTACTAACAAATATTAATGAGTGTCTACGATGAGTCAGAGCTATCCCAAGGACTTTATTGTCCCATGTCAGATTTCTTGTTTGTTTGTTTACACATATTGCCACTTGGCATGTCATCCAAACCATAAAAGTGTAAGCTTCCAGTTTGTGAAGTCTGTCTTCCTTTCTCAGGCGCAGTCACAGCATTTCAGAAAATGCTCCTGCTAGCAATCTGGAGTCATTTTGTCGTGCAGGGGATGCTACTTCTTTCCCAAGAGCCTGAGACTATTCCCCCGTGGGAAGAAGGGTTAATAACTACAGGGGTCTCTTCCCTTTCCTCCTTTAGTCACATTCTTGCCAGACTCTTGGTCTGGGAAAGACTCTTTTTCTTCACTTCCTGTCTTTATTTTTGAGTTACTTCTCTTATTCTCTTTCTATTCCCTTCATTTTTTTCTCAATAAAATGAAACGGTAGTACTTTCCAAGCCTTTTCATCATTGACTCACACAATTCTCTTTTGCAGTACTTAGAGCCCACCTCAAAGCTCTGAGACCTAAAGTCATTGAGCTCCTTCTTTCCTAAACCAGTGAAATCTGCTCTAAGTCTGGCCAGTTCTTTCTGGAAAACCCCTCTTGCCCTGCGCTTTCTGATTCCCATGAGGAGAGATTTATATCAGGTCCTCTTCACTGCTTAGTGCACACTCTCAATCACCATATAATTTATTTATCTCCTCTCTCTCTTTTTTCTATTCTGTCCTGAATACTGCCATGAAGTTAATTATCCCCAAACACTACTTTCATCATATAAAAACATTAAAAATCTCTATAGCTCTTTGTAACTCATAGTTCAAAGTCCACAACTTTAAAGAAAACCTCAACTTCTGTTACTTCCCTACATAAGCCTGGCAGCATAGAAACTAAAGAGGGGAAGGATGTTATAATCATGAGAAAGAAACTCTTAAGATCAGGAGGCAAACCTCCAAAGAGCAAATTTAGGAGATCTTTTATTATCTCTCAGAGCTTCTTCCAAAAACTATGTGTTCATTCTTCCAACTGACATATATACAAAGTAGATTTTTGTTTCTTTTTAAAAATATTCTTAATCATCAGGAAAAATTCACAAAACTTGCATAAAACTTGTCCTTCAGTAAAACACATTTCAGATTCTCACTTTATGTTATTTAAGAAGCACAAAGAATGTATGTTTCTATTAAGATCAAATGAGCCAAATTAACTTTTCTCTGTGTGGCGATGTCCTCACATTTCTTTTCCTTTGTAGTTTAGTCTTGGCAGCAAGAAAACATCTGTAGAGTGATAAAATTTTGGCCCAACTACTCAAATCTTGACGTGTAAATGACTTCAAATTTCACATAAAAGCACTTTATCTTCATGTTATTGATTCAATTATAAATATGGCTGAAATTATAATGAATTTTCTCCTATAGTTTTTGGTCTATGGAATACAAATCTTTGTTGTTACTTACAGCTTTTTTTTTTTTTTTAACATTTAGATACCTGGTTTTCTGTGAATCCACGGTGAGGACAAGGTATAGAAAGAAATGCCTATTTACTTGATTTTTGTGTTATCAAACCTTCTCCCTACTTGTCAGCAACACCTGCTTCTGACATTAGTAAAAATGGCTTATGTTCATAAAAGAAGTATGGTCCCTTAAGCTAGTTTCCATTACCTCTGCTGTGACATCCACTGAGAGCACTTTTCCTGAGCTCCAGACCACCAACGTCGCAGCCAGGATAAAATGTGCACTTGCCAATCTCCAGTCCAGCATCTAAGGGTCATACACATCAGGGTTAACATTGATTAGTCTGGCAAGATAGAAAACAAAAATGTCTATAAAGTTTGTTATAGGCAGGTAATAAACCAAATTATTCAGCTACTATACGTTGGAGTGCACCTCTGCAAAACTTATATAATACTTAATAGAAGCTGTCAATCTCCCAGAATGAATTCTATCAAGACTTCATTTCCATGGAAACCTAGACTGGGGTTGTAGAGCTATAATCATAATTTAACTTTAAGCCAAGTCTGAAAAATCTAGTTTGTGTAACTTTATTCTTTGACTCTCTAATCCACAGACTACAACCTCATGTACCTAAGGGGAAATATGTTAAATTGACTAGGTATGAGAGACTAAGGCCTGGTGGGATTTGTGGTGAGCAAGAGAGAATGTGCTGAGTCTAAAAGCAATTCAATTCAAAATTTCAGAAACACCACAGTTCCAATAGGAGACTATCTTTATGTCCCGTGATATGTAAGGATTTCTTGAGCAAGATTCAAAAGGTAGATCTCATGGAAAAAATTAACGAATTACACTATATCAAAATTGAAAAATTCTACATGATAAATACAATAAACAAATTACAATAAAAACCAAATTAAAAATGGAATATATTTTCAACAGATATAAAAAAGAAAGATTAGCATTTGAAACATTTAAATAACTCTGATAAATAAAATTTTAAAAACAGACTCACAATTAAGTAAAACTGGGCCAAAGTTTATAAGGAGACATGTATCTGAAAGTTCATAGCTTCATTTTATATAGTAGTAAAAAAACGAATCAACTCAAGTACCCTACTCAAGAGGAAATGGATTGATCAAATGAGGTAAATTCATACTATGGACTTTACGCAAATAAATTAAATATGGGTGTTATCTACTGTTCAAAACAAATGACCTGAATGTTATGTGTAATTATATGCAAGGATTTAAAAAAACAGATTTTAGGGGAGATTAGAAGTTCTAGAACAATACATATGCCATGCTACCATTTACCTAAACTGGAAATACGTAAAGCAATTTCATATATTTTGAAATCTACACATATAATTAAAATATAAACCAACGGAACTTGATTCATGACTATGATTACTTCTGGAGAGGGTGGGGAGTATATGAGATTATGGAGAAAACATAAGGGACTCAGTTTTTATCTCTCTATATATACATACTAAAGCAAACATGTTAAAAGATTACATTTGTTAATTCTGTGTAGTAAGCACAAAGGCATATCATTTATGAATTTTTACATTAAAAAAACTATAAATCCAATTAAAGCTTATCTACAGCCGAGATCAGGCCTGCGGGATGCCAGTCTTGCCACTGGTTAAAGCAGAAGGCCTTGCCCTGCTGGGAGAAGCTCACAGGCTGTGAGCTACCAACAGAACGGGCTTGACTTCACCACTTAGCACATGACATTGGGAAGTCCCCCAGGCCATCCTTCATGAATGAGAAGTTTCAGTAAACTTCTGTTGCCTTAAAAAAACCATTTGGAAACCTACAGGGAGCAAAAAGAAAGGGATCCTAGGATCGATCTGAAGAACTGGATTTGACTCGTATTTACTTTAGTAATAGTGTGACGTTGAGTGTGTGTCATTTAACCTACTTGAGCTTTATTTTCCATATTTGTGAAATGAGGAGTAATTCTGACCTCAGAAGAACTTTTTGAGAGGATTGGATTAATTCATGTATAACCTCTTTATCCCATATAGCACTTATAATTTGTAAGTGAAAGAACATTTATGAGACATTACTAAATATTTCTTTAATAACTACATTCTCTTTGGTGTGATCCAAGATTTTCTTTATGACATTTCCTTAAAATGTTGTTACTGTGAAACCTCAGTGTGGATTTTAGTAATAAATGTATCTGCTAGAATACAGACAAATAAGACCTAGACAGAGTAACATCTGTATTAAATGTGTATTAATACTTAAAATGGAGATAAAATATTTTAGTATTGTCTATAACATTTATTTATCAAATATAATCTTAATTTTCATGTAATGCAGCCTAAACTAGTTCTTCATTATGTCATCAATTACTCTACTTTGCAATCTAGTCATACAATGTTGTTCACTAGCTCTTTCTCTGTATTCCACAATTTCTGGAAGGGAGCAGTAAATTCTGTGTTCTCTTTCTGACAAACTTATATTTAATATTTGAGTTTTTTGATAAGTATCTAAAAACAGCTAATCATGATTATTTCTCTAAATTGAGACAGGAGAAAAATAACAAGCATGAATGTAAAAGTTATCTGGTAAAAATACCAACCAAACACTACATTACTTATTTCTTTAGAAAATCAGCCATTGAATCATTCTTCCTTCTGATTTTGCTGCTGTCTCTGACTTCCCTCAGCAAAAGGGAAGACATATCAAAAACATAAGTGTATTTTTACAATGAGCTCATATTTCTGGCATATCTTTTTTTTAAATAGCTCTTTCATTCAATCAAAGATAAACTACCGTTGTGATGTTTTTCTTCCACTTTTTTTTATCCTGCTAAAAACAGGTTACAAAGTGTGAAATCGCTCAATTTTATGAGCTTCCCCATGTGGATTGCCTTCAACTATTTTTATGCACATTTTACTAACCGGTTTTCTCTTCATCTCTGCAATCTTATAAAAGGTACAGGATGATGGGTGTTTGTAATATTGATGATTATGTCTGAGGCATATATTTTTGTGCTTGGGTGTATATAGGAAAAAAGTCATAATGTATCATCTTACAGATAACCACATCCTGATTATTTGGATAGGGAGATATAAAAATAAATGCTGAGTTTAAATACACCCATTTAATGGTTTAAAGCCATGCTTGCAGCCAGTTAACGAAAAGGCCAAGTTCCTAAATATGGCATTTGGTACACTAATGAAAACAAACACCCTGGCACCTGCCACACAAAAGACATTTGATTAACTAGTTGAAACTTGATTGCTACAAAATTAGAAACAGAGGAAATTATAGGGAGGGAAGGAAAAGACCAGGTTCAGCTCCGTTTTCCTATTTTGTTGATAGTGGATAAATATAGCCCATGACTAAAAATCTACCCAGCCCCATGTACACTCCAGATCACAGAAGGAACACTCAAAGGCTGTTCATTGTGTGAATACATGATAGTGGAGGTGTTTGCAATTATTTTTGGTACAGCTATACTTTTCATTGAGTAATTTTTGAATAACATTCCTCTAATGTGAGGAGCCTCAAAAGAGACAGTGGGCATGGGATCTGCCTTATAAGAAGATTAAGCTCTGAAAGTCCAGCAGTAAAGTAACTGGTTTAATTATATTTAAACTAGGATTAAATGAGAAGTCTGTTAAAATGAAGAAAGATGTTTGCATTATTGAGAATCAGTGCTGCAATGAGTCATTGTTACTGTGAAAAATGATCTCTCAAGTGGGCTCTGTGGGAAAAAGAAAAGATTGGTTGCCGCTGATCCAAACTCTCTGCCTTTGAGGGCTGGTGTTGAAGAAAAACAAATCACTCAGGTGACGAAGGAAATTTCTCTTCAACAACGTCTGACTTAGGGATAGTAGATCTAACCATTAGAAACTCACAAAAGGACTGAGTTTGGGGGTTGATTCTTGATAACTTCTGGGATAATTTCTTGATTAGAACTATTCCAGATAGACTCTATCCACCCTATTTTCAACAGAAGTTAAAAAATAAAGCCTTAATTAAAGATAAAGGACTTTAAAAAAGTAATTATTATTATTTTTACTCCTCTTCTTCTGCTTTGGCGTTGCAGACATTTAAGTGAGATTTAACAGGACATGTTATGAAGGGTCTCTAGTTCTGACATTGGGAAATGACCGTGTGTACCTGCACACAACACTCCCCAAATCTTTTTTCTCTGAAAACTGGGGTGGTCTTCTAGGCAAGTGGTGGATCATCTTGGTACCGCAGTAAATCTGTAAAACGGAGTAAGTTCTTCTTCAATGTGCCCTTTACCCTGCCCCATAAAGTCGTGGTCACCCAGGTCTTTTTGATAATAGACGAAAGCTTCCAGGATAGTAGATAGCAGAATAACTATCATTTTTTATTTTAAAGACGGGCCTAAAAGGGACTGTGGTTAACACAGTCTGTGTGGCTCGCTGTGATAGAAAGAGGCCTGATCTAGAGGTTCTGAGACTCAGGCCCTGCCTTGGCTTGGCTGCTAATTCACTGTATGATTTTGGACAAACCCTTTCCTCTCTAGACTGAGTAAACTGAGGTTAGCCTCCCTGACCTCTAAAGTTGCTTCTAGCTTTTGTAAAGTCCGTTTCTGTATCCGGCTCTTTTCTGGTGGAAGCACAGACTCTGTATGTAGGTAATGATAATAGTTGGTGTAGGTTTGGCTGGGAAAACCTTTCTGCTGTCCCTCAAATCAGCTGAGTCTATACATAAGATTTTGCATCTAGGTTTTCACATAAATATGCTCCTCTTGAATTTTAAGTATTTCTAACTGAAAAGACAGGGCCTTCAAATCTTTGATTTTAAGGTTTTATTTATGGTAAGCAATCCCATTTTATAAATGTATTTTAAGAAAGAAAAAAAGCTACCGATTAAATTATGCCATGCTATCAAGTGTAAGACATTCCAACTTCAGAGATGTTAAATGTGCACAGAATGGATGAAATATGCTATATCTATTTACTTTCAAATGTTTACTTGGATTTTGTTTCATCATGCTTAAGATAGTATACTCAATTCCCCCATATTTTCAAAACAAACATTGTTAGAGCTGAGGGAGGATCCAGATTCCCTAGCATGCAGCAGTTATATCTGCTCTTATGGGGTCAGAGAAAGAAAGCATTGTACAATATTTAACGCATTATCAGTTATAAATTTTAAAAATCACATAATGTTACAAAATTTAAAGATTTGATTGATTCCTTATTCCTCTGCATTTGTAGTTAATAGTCTATCAAAGGAAAATAATCATTTGTATATTTTCAGAGTACTCACAAGTCTTAGTATTAGTGGATACAAAAATCACTATTATCAAAAGCTCCTATTTTGGTTATAAAATAGGAATTTTTGAAAATAGAAATTTTCAGATATCTGAAACACCACCAGTTTCACATATACACATATTTTTTCACATATGTACATATATTTTTCACACAATGTTTTTCTAAAAATCTTTAGATAAACTAATGAATATTTTAAAAATAAAAATTTTCAGTCAATAAATGGGCATTCATCATCAGAAAAATATTTCTATGATGGTGAGGAAAAACTCAGAATTAGGCGTGAAGGATAGGGATAAGTGTCCGTGCTGCGCCTGGTAACCTTGAGCAAGATGCTTAAACTGTCAAAACTGTCTAATAAAACTCATTTTATGAACTCACATTTAAATTAATTAATTTTGTTTAATTTAAAATTATTTAATTAATTTACAAATAGCACAAATCATTATGGATTTGCCTTGTTTGCCAGATAAGAGCAATAAAAACATTTACTTTCATATTTAATATTATTTATTAAAACATATAAAGATATACATTTATCTGTGAAAAAACACTGCATCATTTTTATTCTTATTTTATCATAGGTGAACTTTTCAATGGAGACTCTAAATTTTGCATGAAAACATTTTGAAAACTATAAGATAATATGGAAAGATTAACTACATGGTATAAAAATGATTATTTCTGAGCTGAAGGCAAGTGTTTGATGACAAGTCCTTCCAAGGAAAGTAAAGCTTATACTCAACCACCACCTAGGGAATCTGGGGCCGTTCATAGAGACAATCAGCAAAGCTTATGTTCAACAATCAAGAGGATACATAACAGTTTGACATGATACAGATAATCTTGATATTTCAATGAGTGACATTTGAACAGGGTGTTAAGTTTGTGTCTAGTTTTCATTGATGAGAGAAGCAACCAGATGCTTGAGACACTTTCCTGCTAGAAAGCAGAGACTTGGACGCTGGAGTCTCTTCTTTATTGGTGCTGCAATTCCACTGCCTATGGTGCAATCGGCTCCACAAACAAGCGAACTAAGTGTGGCTTTGGCACTTATAACTTCAGAAGTGCGGATTAGTTTTGGATCCTCATAAAGTCAAATACTAGATTTAAAATCATTGAGGATTTTCACCCAAGAGCAACTGAATTACAACTGGTAGTTTTTGTCACTAGCATACATATAATCTATATCATTCTCACAGAAATACATCTGAGAAATACTCATGGTGTTTAGCCGTTTGTTTAAAATTCTCTTTATGAAATTTGCTATTTTCAGTAGATTGTGTGATGGGTATTTGCTTTATATTTTGAGTGTGATTTTGAAAGGAAGGTGCAAATTGAGACTGAGAAATTTAACATTTCCTTTTCTTTTAAGAAATGAAAATGTCAGGAATGTATTATTTCTCATTTCTCATTGCTCTTCCGTTGGCAGTAGTTAATTTTCCGAAGCCACATAGCCAGTTAGAAGAAGAGCCAGAACAACAATGTAATGCTTTCAGACTCTCAGTTTCATGCTCCTTCAAGTATAACTTATTTGTAGAAGTATAAACATTTTCCCATCTCCAAAACAGATTGCTTATAAAGTCAAATGTTTATGGATGAGGTGTTCTTAATGTGGCAGACACCTGCATTTTAAAACGACTTTCCCTGGGGGGCTTCCCTGGTGGTGCAGTGGTTAAGAATCCGCCTGACAATGCAGGGGACACGGGTTCGAGCCCTAGTCCGGAAGATCCCACGTGCTGCGGAGCAACTAAGCCCACGAGCCACAGCTACTGAGCCCGAGTGTCACAACTACTGAAGCCCGTGCAGCTAGAGCCCGTGCTCCAAATGAGAGAAGCCACCACGATGAGAAGCCCGCGCACCGCAACAAAGAATAGCCCCCGCTCACCGCAACTAGTGAAAGACTGCGTGCAGCAACGAAGACCCAACACAGCCAAAAAAAAAAAAAAAAAAAAAATTCTTTGAAATGAATTTCCTTGAATACTAAAAATCAGGAAGAATGATTATTTACTGGTATACATGTGTTAACTGATTTTATTCTGTCTGGCAACATTTTTGTTCTTTTTCAGACACTACTGCCTTCCAAAATCATAAAATTTTGTTGTTAAATATCTCAATTTTTTTTTTCTATTTGGAATTCTCAATCATACTACTAGTATCTTTCTTGCACAAAGTTAAGAAGGCAGAAACCTACAATAACACTAGTAAGATCCCACTATTAAAAAGCCCAGGTATGTATGTTTAACAAACTATTTAAATGTTACTGTAAACTCCTTGACGGTAGGAACTATGACATGTTCACTATTGTATCTCAGCACCCAACATAACGCCTGGCAGAGAGTCAACATTATGTGCTGAATGAATGAATGAATGAAGCAGCCCTATGTAGTAGGTAAACAGAAATGTGGGACAGATATTAACTTCCCAGTTTTATTGATATGGAAACTAAGGCTTAGAGATGGGAAGAGATTTGCCCGTTTTACACCTACAGTAATATATGATGAAGTTCATGCCAAAATCCCGGTATGTCCATTAATGTTTCACATCACAGATTCTCATTCTAATGAAAGAGACATGCATCATTATTCCCTAATCATTATACCAGTAAAGTTTCAGATATCTCCTTATCAAACACTAATTTGTGCTCAGATCCCTGAATTATTATAAGTTTCTTCATGTAAAACTATGTTATCTAGAAAGACAAGAGAACTTGGCGTATGATTGTGTGCAATTCTGGTAAGGGAATTTGTTCTTTACTTCTAATAATGAATAATGGGAAAAATAAGAATCTTCAAAACTAGAGATAGGGAAAAGCTGGTAGAGTTGCACATAAACATTCTGTTTAGCCATTTGATACGGAGGTCATTTTTATGTGGTATAAAAAGGCTTTCAAAGGGTAAAGTTGGATAACTGCAGTTAAACATGGCATATATTAGCATCAGGGTAATGTGGAATACTACCACCTCCTTCACCCTTTACCCCACTTTGTACTTATATATACTATTTAATAAAATAGAATTATAGCAGGGTGATAGAAAATAAAATATAATAAAGAAAGTAATATTGATTGGGGGAAGGAAATTTTACTAAAGAGAGTTATGAATGGAAATCACTCTTAACATTTAATGTTACAGTATATTATGTATTATCATTAATTTCAGCCACAATATTTTATGAAAATATTAGCATACAACTATAAAGAATATTATAATGAGAAGAAAACAAAGGGAAGAAATCTGTTATACTTAAAACATAATTATTCTTCAAACTCTAATTATATTAACAAAACTAGATATTAATTGAATTTTAATATGATTTTATATCATTTATATTTTGTTTTATAGTTCATAAGATATCTCTATTAAACATTTTCTTTTAAATCACTAATTATGTTGTCACAGTCATGATTTTCCCATAGTTTTTGTAATATTGACAGTGTAGCATAGTCAGGCTGTGTCGTGGAAGCAGAGCCAGCCTGAGTGTTATGGGAATTAAGGAGCTTGTTACAGGAACTAGACCTTACACAAGCATGGGAGCAGTCAGGGAGGGCTGGACTGCCAAGGAGGTAGAGGAGGAGATGTCACTTCCTAAACCTCTTAGTGCCCCAGCATGGATGGACAAGTCAGAGTTTGCAAGGAAATGCAACCACCAAAGTGGGACTACAGGGAAGCCATGGAGAGGTCCATGGAAAGGTCCATGGAGAGGTCCATGGAAAGCCACAGCTATCACTTGGTGGGTCAGCAGCCAAGTTCTCAGTGGTGGCCCAGGTGATATTTTAAAGGTGCATTTTTCACATGTTTAGAGTCTTATGTGTCATAGGAACATAGGGTTTTAGAAAGGAAGGAGGCTCTCATTAGAAACTGTGGAATTTACCATCCTCAATAGATGGAGAGAGCCAGACTCAGAGGTAATTAACTTGTCCGAGGGAGAGGAAATGAAGGGGAGATGTAAAATGGATTAAGAGGAGGAGGCATGGAAGAGGAGTTGTTTCTGGAGGGAACGGGTGCTTTGTTCTGAGACCAGAGCAGATGAGGCATTGATAAGGGAGAAGAGGCAAGGCTGAGCAACAGCCAGTTCAAACCAGCCAAGGCACCAGCAATTACTGGCTGGTGATGCTAACCACTGCTCCAGAGAGGTACCCTGAAAATTATTTGCAGAAAGAAGGAGGACTCAGCTAAAAATATCTCTAGTCAGAGAGATCTTTAGGCACATGGGAGTTGGCCTGTGTAGAGACGTGCCTAGAGTTAGGAGGGAACTTGTGACTCATCATTTGTACCCACACGGACTCTAGTTTTACTGAGGAGAGAAAAATGCCCCTAGGAAGCTGAGTAAAAGCTGTTGAAGACAGGACTGGGATTACAAAGCTGGTTTCCTGACTCCAAAGCGTGTGTTCCTCTGATAACACCATTGAACCTAAGCAAACATTGTCTGATGTGTAGAGATCACAGTGGATGAAATATTGGCAAGGAGGTTAAGTTAGATGATGTCTAAGGATTAGCCCCAAGATTCTGTGATACTGAGTCCTCATTCTCTAATATAGGGAAAAGTGACTGATATGGGAGCTTCCCCAGGTCATTCTCACGTTCAGTATCACTGGCACTTTTAGTTCTTTCATCTCTTTCAATAATAACAAAATGTTGTCGAGCCCTACTGTGTGCTTAAGCTTGCATGAAGTTGCACAACTACATAGTGACACGGTTGGGGTAATATTTTGAGACTGCTTACTTTGAGTTCTGTTCATTTGAGACAAGCTCAACCAATCTAATTTTACTAATTAATGTTCAAATCATTGAAAGTATTTGAATAAGAAGTTAAAATTATAGCCCTGAGGTCCCCATACCTAGTCTACTAAACATATCTGCTTCTTTACTGCCCATGATTCGTTGTATCGGAATCAGTTTAAAACCCTGAGAAATAAAGGGCGAAAGCAAATAACCTTAAATACCTTAAATAACTTATTGAATGAAGCCACAGTACAATTCACTTATAAAGAGGAGATGAAGGCATATCTGCAGGAAGCTCTTCTTAGAAAAGTTCTATTAAGAGTGATGAAGAGTAGTACCAAAGTAAAGAGAAGACACAAAATGTGCTGACGCTTGTGGGAGACCATTAAATATAGTGCTATCAATTCTATAGCTTACATGAGCACTGAAATCATCATAAAGCATTGTTTAAATTATGTAATTTCTAGAAAGATAACTCATAAATAAATAATAATCTCATTCCTAAACCTATAATATCTATAATTGTAATTCAAAGGAGCTATATTTTGTTTTGCTAGAGCTGAATTTATTGAGTGTACACTATTTCCACAGGTCAAAACCTGAAACAAAATTTTAAATTTCTTCTTAAACAGACCTCAAATGTATGTTTCAGATTAACTCTTAATTCAATAACTTAATAGCAAGAGCACTTCAAATATTGAAGAATAGACATTGATCTAAGTCTACTCTAAGCTATGTTATTAATATTATACTTGCCTATTTGAGTTTTGTAAGCATAAAATCAGATGATAATATGGGTTTGAAGAATATAGAATACAGAATTTTATTAGTTTAGGGATGTTTCCTAAGTTCCAATTGTAATAGAAATACAGATAAGAGAAAAACTTTCTTTTCTAGCTAGGTTTTTAAAATTAGGCTACTTTGTACATTTAAGAATTTCCTAACACTGGATATATTTGATGAAAGCAAAATTAATACATCTAACACACTATAGGATTATTATCTTGAGTTCCCTTTCTCTCTGTTTTAAAATAGAATATAAAAGCAAAAGTAATGTAATAAATATAAAATACCTGAGCAAACAATTATCTCCACCCTAAGTTTGCATTACAAAAATATCTTAGATTTTTTACTCATTTTTAGAGAGGAAAATATTTCCAAAAACATTTCTGACTTTAGCTAAATCAAGATAAAATCAAAACATTTAAAAAGTATGTGAAAATTTTTTAAAAAGTTAAAAGGAAAAAGCCTAACTCTTTATCAGCTTTTATATTTAACTTACCTTGTGAAAAATCAGGAGATTCTCACTTTAGAGTCCTGTCTGTGCAGTTTCTCCCAAACTCAGCTCTGATGGTGAGTTTTTGCTCTGAGTTTTTATAGTCTCAGTTATACACCCCTTACTCCAATCCCTGCCTTTGCTTTCTCTTACATCATTTCTACAGATTTTCCACTGAACATTTTCCCAAGCTTCTCCTCAATCTCTCTCTCTCTCTCATCCTTTTCCCTCTGTCTTTCCCAGTCTCTATCTCTCTTTCTCTGTTTCCCTCTCCTGTTCTTCCTCTCCATATTTATTCTATCTACTGCTTTGACCATGGAATTTAAGTAGCAACAGGAGCATGGGCTCCGGAAAATTTAAGTATACATTTAGTATTGTGTTCAGCCTTAGACCCATCACTTCTTCCTGAGGTTTTAGTCCAGCTCTGATAATTACAAATCGTATTTGGGAAATAAAATGCACTAAGGTTTATTAAAAAGAAAGTCACTAGGATATTTCAAAGTAAGATTTAGGGAAACAAAATCAGAAATGCAAACTGATTTATTGATGTATATTTTGGACCCTTAAATAAATGATCATGTATGGAAATGGTGAGTAGTTTCAGCCTCAGTCAGGTGCCGCAGCCCTGTCAGTGAAACTGACAGCTACTTTGTAATTAACATTGCTATACTGGGAAGGCTGTCACTAACAAACCTATAAATACTGAACTGGACATGTGGGCTATAAATGCAGTCGTTGTAATCATTTTTATCCTCCTCTTGTTCTCCAGTATTTTAATTTCCTTTTAACCAAAACATCCCTGCTTGTGTCTGAAATTTTCCTTCATTTCCATTTCCTACTAATCACATTTGTAACTTTACATACACGAATTATAAAAAATAAGTTATTATACGTTATTAAGTCCTAAAGGTAATATGTTGTCAGATGATTATTAGCTCATTTAATTCACCAGTAGATCCCCATTTAACAGATAAAGAGATTGAGTCTCATGAGTTAATGAGATCACACAGCTAGGAAGTAGCAGCAGAGCCAGATTTCTAACACGGATCGTAATTCCATACCCAGTTTTCTTCCCACGACTTCACTCTGTCTCACTATTTAAAAAGCTGGAAAAGAGAATCCAAATCAGATTACGTTTTTGCACAAATAGAAATAAATTTGTTCTTTTTGGTTTTGCTTTAAAAGGCATTTAAAATGCTACTCGCTTGTATAGGAACTAGTACATGGTTAATTTAGATCTAGATGGAGAACTGACCGGAGCACACTGAATTGGTGGGACAGTAAAATGCTTCATTTTTGTGAAGGGCTTCCAGGGATAACATATGTCTCAACAAACTTGAAATTTGAGTAGTTGGCAGTGATAGTTCACAAGTCAAGATAAAAATACAGCCTAATCGTGTCCTTGTTTAGACATTACTGCCATAAAACAATTACGTTAACTTGAATCCACATGCTGGAAACTCTCAATACAGATTTAACGGATTCATCATAATGCTACTAGAAGCCAATATTCTTGACGTACCTTCTACCCTTATTTGAAACGCCTCCCTTAGCATGCTGACAAGTGATATCTGTGGCTGATTTATTCCAGATCTGTCCCTGCTTAGACAGTCCCAAGATTCCACCCTATTTGTGGATTTTGTTGACCTAATTCAAAAGTTTGACTTAACTGTTCTTTAGCAACAGTTTATTCCAGGAACAAAACCATGGTACATTTAAGCCATTCATATGGGCTTCTGCACATTATAAAGCCCTATGTAAATGACTTATGCATTTATACATGATAAAGAAATTCTGTTACTTAAAAGAGAGACTAAAATAGAAGCATATGAAGAAATAGAAAGAGAATAAACGCCCAATAATAGATGAAGAGATTAACATGAAAAAGAGAAAAAAAAATACTGAAAACTTATATCATTATTTAATTCTCATAATAACCTTGCTAATGAGGTATTATTACTCATATATAACAGATGAGAAAACTAAAGCTCAAATGTGTGAGAGGGATATAGCCCAAGTGCTCACAGCTTAAAATTGATGATGAGAATAGGGGCTGAATCTTGCTTTCTTTATCAGTCAGGATTCTGGCAAGAAAGAGGTGGCACACTCAAATTGAGAAATTTGAGAATAATTTAATGTGGGCAGGTGTGGAGGAACCAGAAAGTATCATGCAGTATACTGAACCCCCATTAATAGCCAGGTATTCCTAAACCTGAAGGATTAAAAGTGAGATTACAGGGACCCAGAACAGAGGGATCTTAGTGGAGAAAGTTGCCTGGCAGAAGTGGAACATTTCATCAAGGGACACAGGTAGTCAAGAGTGATCTACAGGGGAGGGAACCTAGGAGACAAACATTGACGTTTCACTTTGCTTCCTGGACACAATCTCCTGTTGTGTTTACCTCTGGTCAAACCCTGAGAGATAAAGGACCCAGCACATTGTTTAACCTCAAAATTGCGCTAAGAGACATACAAATGGGTTCCTTTGTAAAGATCAACGTGACTGCAAATGCCACCATTACCCACACTCTTATGCCATATTTCCTAATGCTTTTTGTCAAGTCAGGTTTATTGAGGGATAATTTACATACGCAAAATTCACCCTTTTAAAGTGCACAGTCTGATGAGTTTTGACAAATGTAGATAGTATGTAGCCTCCACTACAATCAAGATAAAGACCATGTCTATAACCCCGCCTCCCAAATTTCCCTCCTGCCTTTTACAGTCAATCTTCTACCCCACCCCCAGGTCCTGATAACCACCAATCTGATTTCTGTCCCTATAATTTTGCCTTTTCCAGAAGGCTGTGAGAAATTATACAGTATATAGTCTTTGGTGTCTCGCTTCTTTCACTTAGAATAATGCTTCTGACTGAGATTTATCCATATTGTTAAATGTATCAGCACTTGGTTTCTTTTTTTTTTTTTTATTTTTTTTATTTTTTTTGTTTTTGTTTTTTTTTTTGTTTTTTGTTTTGTTTTTTTTTGTTTTTTTGTTTTTTTTTGTTGTTTTTTTTTTTGTTTGTTTTTTTTGTTTTTTTTTTTTTTTTTTTTTTTTTTGTTTTTGTTTTTTTTTCTTTGGTTTCTTTTTAATAATGAGAGTGTTCGATTGGATGGATGTGCCACAATTTGCTTGTTCATTTACCAGTTGGTGAAAATTTGAGTTGCTTCCAGCTTTTGGCGATTATGAATAAAGCTGCCATAAACATTAATATAGCCGTCTTTGAGTGGATATATGTTTTCATTTCACCTGGGCAAATACATAGAAATGGGATTCCTAGATCACGTGGCAAGTGTATGTTTAACTTGATAGGGTATAGTCAAACTGATTTCCATAGTGGCTCTACCATTTTGCATTTCCACCAGAAATGTATGAGAGATCCAATCACTCAGCATCCTTGCTAGCATTGGACAGTCGTTGCCATTTTCAAAACTTTAGCCATTCTAATAAATGTATACTGGTATCTTATTGTGCTTAATTTGTATTTTCATAAAAACTAATGATGTTGAGAATCTTTTCACGTACTTACTTCCCCTTTGTATATCTTCTTTGGTGTAGCATCTGTTTAAAACTTTTGCTTAATATTCAGTTGTGAGAGTTCGCTATATATTCTAGATACAAGAATTTTTATGATTTGTGTTTTGCAATTTTTTTCCCCCATTCTGTAGCTTGTCATTTCATTCTCATAGTTTCGTTTCACAGAGCAGGCATTTATAATTTTGATGAAGTACAATTAGCCATCTTTTAAAAATGGAGCATGCTTTATGTACCCTAAGAAATCTTTCCCTCACTCAGGTTTGTAGTGATTTTTTTCTTGTGTTTCCTTTGAGAAGTTTTCAAAATTCTTTTGGCTATTCTAGGTCCTTTACATTTCCGTATAGATTTTAAGATCAGCTTATCAATGTACAAAAAAGAACTATCTGGGATTTTATTGACTCTATAGATCAATTGGAGGAAAAATGACATCTTAAAAGTATTCTGGGGCTTCCCTGGTGGCGCACTGGTTGAGAGTCCGCCTGCCGATGCAGGGGACACGGGTTCGTGCCCCGGTCCGGGAAGATCCCACATGCCGCGGAGCGGCTAGGCCTGTGAGCCATGGCCGCTGAGCCTGCGCATCCGGAGCCTGTGCTCCGCAACGGGAGAGGCCACAGCAGTGAGAGGCCCGCATACCGCAAAAAAAAAAAAAAAAAAGTATTCTGATGTGTGAACATAGTATGTTTCTCTTTCATTTAGATCTTTGATTTCTCTTTACAATGTTTTTAAATTTCAAAACTGTACAAATCTTGTATGTATTTTGTTAAATGTATCACTAATTATTTGATGTTTTTTGATGCTATTATAAATGTAGTTTCTAAAATTTCAATTTCCAAGTGGACATTCCTAGTTTACAAAAATACAATTGATTATTGTATATTGATCTTTTTGTATATTGATCTTATTGTATGTTGATCTTGGTAAACTTATTTATCAGTTCTAGTAGGTTTTTATAGATTAAACAGGATTTTCTATGTATATAAAATTCTCTTGTTTGGGAAGAAAACCTGTTTCGTATCTTCTGTTTCAACCTGTATGTAATTTTTTATTGCCTCAGCCAGCTCTGCCAGTGCAATACTGAATAGAAGTGGAGGGTGAACATCCACGCCTTGTTCCTGATCTTGGGGTGAAGAAGGCTTTCATTTTTCACCATTAAATATGATAATGTAGGGTTTTTATAGCTGCCCTTTACCAGGCTGCAGAAGTTCCCTTCTGTCATTAGTTTTCTGAAAGTGAATTGTAACCTTGCTTTTCTGAGATAAACTCTATTTGATCACAACGTATTATTCTTTTTCTACATTGCTGGATTTGGAGTGCTAAAACTTTTTAAGGATGTTTATTCATGAGGGAGATAGGAGATAGGCTTTTCACTTCCTTAAAATATATTTTTTTAGGTGTTGGTATGAGAGTTATGGTGGTCTCATAAAATGATTGGGAAGAATTATACCCTTGTCTTAGTCCCTTCAGGTTGTTAAAACAAAAATACCGTAGACTGGAAGGCTTAAAAAACAAGCATCTATTTCT